TACTCGCTTCCAAAATCGCGACGTAATGCTTTTGATTATGCTCCCATTAAACGTTGTGAGAACACAGGTTCTTCACTGCAAGGGTGGCGCAGGGTGAAGATGAGAGGCGAGGGTGTGTGGAGAGGGCTAAATCTGCACCAGGTTGCCACCCCTCGAGGTACTGTGACCCTGGCGGCCGTCGTCGGCAGCCTCCACGGCCGCCACGGTCGTGGAGGCTGCCAGATAGTGACGAAACCACAACCTTGGAAGACAACTTCGTTACCGCCTACCAAGTCAACAACCCTTGAATGAAGTTCTCACGTACCCACGTGAGACAAAACGACATCGTATCCGGAAGGAAGTACACGAGTACTGTGGTTCCTCTGCTGTCTGCGTCAGTCTGGGTACACGGGTAGTCCCTGTATGGTAATAACCACGTTGACACACCTCGTAAGGTACACAGTGTATACCCCGCCAAACACACACCGAAACTACGACGTTGGTACAACGTTCGAACAAGTTTTAACACCTAACCAGTTGATATAACTGGTTAGGTGTTAAAACTTGTTAATATAGCAAGTTGTAACAACGTTCTAATACGTCATAAACACGGATGTAACAACTTTATTACAAGTTGTAACAAATGGAAACTAGACAGTTACGGTTTGTGTTTCCATGGTATATATCTTGTCAATATTAAGAATTATTAAAAATAATATATACTATATGATCCGGTTGGCTATCATCATATTATCATCAAAGAACCTTTTTGCTTCTTTATTGGGTTCAGAGGAACGAAGTTAGTTAATTTCTCACAATTATTCTATTGTAAATACCTTCATGGCAACTTCTCCCTTCACTAACACAAGAGCTTGTAATAATTTTCAATAACCGATATCTTGAAACGTTGCCAAATAGTTTCTGCAAGATATCCTCCCCCACAGCTATCATGAGCCCCTACAGCAACAGGACCACGCGTACGCCCGCTCCCCTTGACCTACTCTCATACAATAAAATACAATACTATAACTCTAATACAAACAACATAATAGCCTAGTGCTTATGAACTGAAGCCAGTAATATGGTAAATTGAAATACATAGTTAAATGAGGTGTGATGAATGTATACATATGCATAATTTTGAATAGTTATGACTCTGGGTAAATACCTGGGTCATAACAGTGGCTGGCCTGGGTTACTACGTTAGTGGTTAGGTCTAGCGGGCTGAATATGTCTGGGAGTAGCGAATCATGAGAACGGGGTAGTTTCACTGGTGTGTGTGTGGGGGGGGGGGGGGCTATCCCCCCTCAGTGTTGTTGGGGTGTCCCTTTCCCCAGTGTTGTGTTGGGGGTGTGTCCCCTCCAGTGTTGTGTTGGGGGTGTCCCCTCCAGTGGTGTGTTGGGGGGTGTCCCCTCCAGTGTTGTGTTGGGGGTGTCCCCTCCAGTGGTGTGTTGGGGGTGTCCCCTCCAGTGTTGTGTTGGGGGGGTGTCCCCTCCAGTGTTGTGTTGGGGGGGTGTCCCCTCCAGTGTTGTGTTGGGGCGGGTGTCCCCTCCAGTGTTGTGTTGGGGGGGGTGTCCCCTCCAGTGTTGTGTTGGGGGGGTGTCCCCTCCAGTGTTGTGTTGGGGGGGTGTCCCCTCCAGTGTTGTGTTGGGGGGGTGTCCCCTCCAGTGTTGTGTTGGGGGGGTGTCCCCTCCAGTGTTGTGTTGGGGGGGTGTCCCCTCCAGAGTTGTGTTGGGGGGGTGTCCCCTCCAGTGTTGTGTTGGGGGGGTGTCCCCTCCAGTGTTGTGTTGGGGGGGGTGTCCCCTCCAGTGTTGTGTTGGGGGGGGGGTGTCCCCTCCAGTGTTGTGTTGGGGGGGGGTGTCCCCTCCAGTGTTGTGTTGGGGGGGGGTGTCCCCTCCAGTGTTGTGTTGGGGGGGGGTGTCCCCTCCAGTGTTGTGTTGGGGGGGGGGTGTCCCCTCCAGTGTTGTGTTGGGGGGGGGGTGTCCCCTCCAGTGTTGTGTTGGGGGGGGGGGTGTCCCCTCCAGTGTTGTGTTGGGGGGGGGGTCCCCTCCAGTGTTGTGTTGGGGGGGTGTCCCCTCCAGTGTTGTGTTGGGGGGGTGTCCCCTCCAGTGTTGTGTTGGGGGGGTGTCCCCTCCAGTGTTGTGTTGGGGGGGTTGTCCCCTCCAGTGTTGTGTTGGGGGGGTGTCCCCTCCAGTGTTGTGTTGGGGGGGTGTCCCCTCCAGTGTTGTGTTGGGGGGGTGTCCCCTCCAGTGTTGTGTTGGGGGGGGGGTGTCCCCTCCAGTGTTGTGTTGGGGGGGGGGGTGTCCCCTCCAGTGTTGTGTTGGGGGGGGGTGTCCCCTCCAGTGTTGTGTTGGGGGGGGGGGTGTCCCCTCCAGTGTTGTGTTGGGGGGGGGGGTGTCCCCTCCAGTGTTGTGTTGGGGGGGGGGTGTCCCCTCCAGTGTTGTGTTGGGGGGGGGGGGGGTGTCCCCTCCAGTGTTGTGTTGGGGGGGTGTCCCCTCCAGTGTTGTGTTGGGGGGGGTGTCCCCTCCAGTGGTGTGTGGGTTGACACACAAGTGCCAGAGGGTGGTGGTGGGGCGGGAGGGGGTGTTTGGTGTGGAGGGGGGGGGGCGTGCATAATTACAGGCTCCGTGGCTAAATATACTGGTGGTTTTTAGAGGGAGTTTGTTGCACGCATTATCAGCTTCTTAAGACATTGTAAAGTAGGAACGTTTTTCACGCGGGTGATGTAGCAGTGACAGCTCTCACGACGCATGAAGGCAATCCGTGGAAACCGCAGGTTGATGGGCTAGGATAAATATAAATTGGGAATAAATTAAATTAGTAGAATAATAGAACTGCAGAATAGAGCCAGTGAAGAGCAGAGGTGCCATAGGCACAATCAGAGAACACTGTATAAACATCAGAGGTCCGCGGTTGTTCAACGTCCTCCCAGCAAGCTTAAGAAATATTGCCGGAACAACCGTGGACATTAAGAGGAAACTAGATTTATTCCTCCAAGGAGTGCCGGACCAACCGGGCTGTGGTGGGTATGTGGGCCTGCGGGCCGCTCCAAGCAACAGCCTAGTGGACCAAACTCTCATAAGTCAAGCCTGGCCTCGGGCCGGGCTTGGGGAGTAGAAGAACTCTCAGAACCCCATCAACCAGGTATCAACCAGTACGCATGTACTTTTGTCAATCGTCAGACTCCACACACCACCTTCCCTCGGGCTCCCCCACACACCTCTTTGTTAGCAATCGGATCTTACCAGTTTTTGCCAAATCGTCACGACGTGAAGAGCGGGGGGAGACACAGGAGAGGTGTGTGTGTGTGTGTGTGTGTGTGTGTGTGTGTGTGTGTGTGTGTGTGTGTGTGTGTGTGTGTGTGTGTGTGTGTCGGGCAGTGTTGTGGAGGAGAGACCCCTCCGTGACACACTCTCACTTGCACTAGTGATAGCTGAGCGTCTTGTGTGATCATCACATGGGGAGTGTTTACGGGGATCAATATGTGGGTAGCAAGAGCCCTGTGCCAGCAGCCGTTGTGTGCTGCCAGTAACGCTCGCTGGTCATCAGGTGAGGCAAGACTATCTTATTTAATGGAATTGTTAATGATAATGACACGAAGTGTAAACTGTGTGGTATGTTAAGGTCTCACACCCTCACTCATAATGTTCTTGATAGCCCGTTGATTAATGTATATAGCAATACTGAGATAAGGACTGTTCCTGAACAAATAGCCTGGATGTGTCAGAACTGAAATATTGATGATATTCTGGAGAGAGATAAGAATTTTGCACCAAGATTGTAACCTTTTGTTGAATTGTCTGAATGTCTAATGCTAATTGTCTGTGTACCCAGTTATAAAAGTGTATGTGTGTACGTCTGGTAACATACATGTGTAAAGGAAAAAAATGTGTTAATTTTTTTCTTTGTGTGTGTGTGTGTGTGTGTGTGTGTGTGTGTGTGTGTGTGTGTGATATATACACACACACATATATGTGTGTGTATGTATGTATGTGTGTATATATAATATATATATATATATATATATATATATATATATATATATATATATATATATATATATATATATATATATATATATATATATATATATATATATATATATATATGACAATGTCAGACCACGGAGGAAAATTGAAACAGGAATTTCCTTAAGTACTTTCGTATATTAATACATCTTCAGGAGGAGATGTATTAATATAAGATGTATTAATGTATTAATAGTCCCCGGAAAGGTGTCATTGAGCTTATCTTAAAGGCGTTCCGGCGCGCCATTATTGAGAGAGATATATAGATAGATGGGTACTGTGAGCATACCCTGACAAAGGTTCGAGTCCTGGTGGCTCCCAACCATACAGAGGTTGTTGGTTGTGGAGAGTAGCAAGGTCTTAAAATGTGAGGGGATTGGTGCATGAGAGAGTAGTGATGTTGACGGCCAGGAAGTGTTGCAGGCTGCCGGTGGTGCTTCCTTGTCTCTCTTCCGCCGCCACCCTCCCGCCGCCTGTCTGTCCCCTCCACCTGTCCCCGCCACCTGTCCCCGCCACCTGTCCCCGCCACCTGTCCCCGCCACCTGTCCCCGCCACCTGTCCCCGCCACCTGTCCCCGCCACCTGTCCACCTGTCCCCGCCACCTCAGGCATCACCTGTCTAAATTCGCAGAGATCCACTGTCTAGGCAAGGACACGAAGGATCGGAATATGTTTTACGGGCTATTCATACCCGTGCCACCTCTTGGGTGGCTTAATCTTCATCAATCTGGACTATGTTAAGAGCAGCGCCTGGTAGCAAGTTAATGGGTGGTGGGCACACAAGTGCCTCAAGAAGCAGCAGTTGCTTCATCTCGTGTGGCACTCTGGAGCCTTGCACTTGGTAGCTGCCGTCTGTCAAGCTCACTCTGCAATCCACACGACTTTCCTTGTAAATTATAGATAAGATCAGGAGAGTGTGCATCTCGCGAAGCAGTCTTCAAGAGGCGCGGAGGCTGGGTTATGTTGTAGACTAATTTGTTTTCCTTTATTGCAGAGATCAACAAGGTGCGGGCTAACCTCTTCCACATCAATGGCGGCCAGAAGGAGCCCCTGTCGTTGCCAGAGCCCATGGGAGCCCCCGTCACGCTCTCAGACAAGGTCTACGTCCCGGTCAAGGATCATCCAGAGGTCAGTACTGCTGGCGGATCTCCCAACATCCCCTTACACCTAGCCATCTCTCAATACCCTCTTACTCCTAGCCAACTAAATATTTTTGCTCGCCATCACAAATCTTCATGACCATCATGCCCATCACCAGGCCACATTCGACGAAGAAATTGAACGTCAGAATAGTTAAACGATAACGCAACAGGTGCGGTAAGACTAGCAGCAGCAGCAGCTAGCAGACAATAAGACTACAATCGAGAGCTTTGACATGCTCACAATCGACTTGAGAATGGTCCAGGACGGACCGAAACATCGTCGTCCCTTCACCTTCTAGTGTGTGTGGTCTGGTCAACTCAGACCTCCCGTCCCCGTAGTCACGGATAGGTAAATACTACTACCACCGCTCGACTTGCGGCCATCAATATTCCGAGTGGTGAGGGTGTCGACCAGCGAGCCCCTGGGTCTAACCAACAGGGTTATACCCCGACCATGGCGGGCGTTGCCCCTTCCTCGGCGGGTGTAATAGACCGCCGGGGTAATGGGGCGAGGCCTGGCACGTGACCTGGGTGGACGTGCTTTCTACGGGCATACCTGCATGTGTGTTGAACTTAATCGTGCTTGGAGGGTTTTCTTGCCTCTGGGTCTAGTGATCTCTCTAACTGTATCTTGGCGGGGCAGGTGTGGGGGTGGAGATGGGGCGGGGCAGGTGTGGGGGTGGAGATGGGGCGGGGCAGGTGTGGGGGTGGAGATGGGGCGGGGCAGGTGTGGGGGTGGAGATGGGGCGGGGCAGGTGTGTGGGTGGAGGCGGGGCGGGGGCTCGGCAGGTGTGTGGGTGGAGGCGGGGGCTCGGCAGGTGTGTGGGTGGAGGCGGGGCGGGGCAGGTGTGTGGGGGGAGGCGGGGGCGAGGCAGGTGTGTGGGTGGAGGCGGGACGGGGTGGGGCAGGTGTGTGGGTGGGACGGGGCGGGGCGGGGCAGGATGCTGGGCCAGGACCCTCAGGGAACAGACTTCCCAAGTTTGTCTAGAAGTCTACAGCTTCTCCCCCAACCCCACCAACCCCACAGGGTAAAAAGACTTACTGGTAACAGTCTATATATTAACACCCCCCCCCCCCCCCCTACTCCCACAAGCATAAATGATCTTGCCTCCTGAGATTTACGTTAAGATCCAATAGTCTCATCTGATAGAAGCAAGCATTCACACCCCACAAGAATTAACACACTGGTGAAAGAAACTAATAACCAAACAGCATTAAACACACCATGATAGAGCCCAGTAGGCTCAGGAATCTGTACACCAGATGAGTGACAGTTGAGAGGCGGGACCAAAGAGCCAAAGCTCAACCCCTCGCAAGCACAATTAGGTGAGTACACCTACACCATCCTCTTACAGGTCAATCATCTTAAATAAACACTTGGAGTGAACTGGAAGTTGCATTTATAATCCATAAATGAAATAATATAAAGTGTTGCAGATACAGAAGAGAACAGGACTTGGAGGGGCAAAATAATGTAGGCAAACTGACGCGACCTCCCTCACAGGCCGCCACGACCTCCCTCACAGGCCGCCACGACCTCCCTCACAGGCCGCCACGACCTCCCTCACAGGCCGCCACGACCTCCCTCACAGACCGCCACGACCTCCCTCACAGGCCGCCACGACCTCCCTCACAGGCCGCCACGACCTCCCTCACAGGCCGCCACGACCTCCCTCACAGGCCGCCACGACCTCCCTCACAGGCCGCCACGACCTCCCTCACAGGCCGCCACGACCTCCCTCACAGACCGCCACGACCTCCCTCACAGGCCGCCACGACCTCCCTCACAGGCCGCCACGACCTCCCTCACAGGCCGCCACGACCTCCCTCACAGGCCGCCACGACCTCCCTCACAGGCCGCCACGACCTCCCTCACAGGCCGCCACGACCTCCCTCACAGACCGCCACGACCTCCCTCACAGACCGCCACGACCTCCCTCACAGACCGCCACGACCTCCCTCACAGACCGCCACGACCTCCCTCACAGACCGCCACGACCTCCCTCACAGGCCGCCACGACCTCCCTCACAGGCCGCCACGACCTCCCTCACAGACCGCCACGACCTCCCTCACAGACCGCCACGACCTCCCTCACAGGCCGCCACGACCTCCCTCACAGGCCGCCACGACCTCCCTCACAGGCCGCCACGACCTCCCTCACAGGCCGCCACGACCTCCCTCACAGGCCGCCACGACCTCCCTCACAGACCGCCACGACCTCCCTCACAGACCGCCACGACCTCCCTCACAGGCCGCCACGACCTCCCTCACAGGCCGCCACGACCTCCCTCACAGGCCGCCACGACCTCCCTCACAGGCCGCCACGACCTCCCTCACAGGCCGCCACGACCTCCCTCACAGGCCGCCACGACCTCCCTCACAGGCCGCCACGACCTCCCTCACAGACCGCCACGACCTCCCTCACAGACCGCCACGACCTCCCTCACAGGCCGCCACGACCTCCCTCACAGGCCGCCACGACCTCCCTCACAGGCCGCCACGACCTCCCTCACAGACCGCCACGACCTCCCTCACAGGCCGCCACGACCAACTTGAATCAGCTTGCCTCTCCAGGCAGTGTACTGTAAAAAGTTCGTCCCGTAACCTTCCAAGTTCTCTAATGTATTATGCCCAAATAATTAACAAGAAACTATACAAAATAACTAACTTACTGGCTGCTTACTACTTAGTCAACCACGAGGTTGAAATTCTTAAATACCGCCAGTGGTTTACATGCTAAATAATTTGTCGTACCGCCGACAGCTCTGCAGGCCAGTAGCCTGACTCAACCCTCAAACTCTTGTATCTTTACGTAAACCCGTTGTTCCCTAGACACATCATCCTGGTCATAACAGTGTGGCAGGTGTTTGGAGGAGGCGGGGTGGGCGTGGGGCAGGTGTTTGGGGAGGCGGGGTGGGCGTGGGGCAGGTGTTTGGGGGAGGCGGGGTGGGTGTGGGGCAGGTGTTTGCGGGGTGGGCGTGGGGCAGGTGTTTGGGGGAGGCGGGGTGGGCGTGGCAGGTGTGTGTGGGCCGGTGGTAGTGGTGGTGGGGGCGTGGCAGGTGGGTGTGGGCGGTGGCGGGGTGGGGGCGTGGCAGATGTGTGGGCGGAGGTAGGGGGTTACCATGTTAGATTCATAGTCGCCAAGGTGAAGGAGACGAGCTTAGCACCTCATGGTGTAGTGGTAATATTTACTTTGCTTATCTCGTTATTGATACATAAATTCACGATCTCTCTAATCACAACCACAGCATTTCGTTTTAGCTCGTGGATGCTGAAACTATTTTGTGTTACAACAACAAATGGAAACCATCTAAAGACCGACAACCACTCTCATCTTCACAGACGGATCAGTTGATCAAGAGAGAGGTTCTGCTGGGGCAACAGTTTACACTACCAACCATGAAGCTTACTGGAGCATGAATAGTGGGTGCTCAACATTGCAAACAGAATTATGTGCCCTGAAAGAGGCCATAAATTATGCAGTTGAGGATAATTTACATGTCATCATTCATACCGACTCTAAATCTTCGCTCCAGGCATTGTTATACAGCCAGCACAGAGATAATATACAACTCATCACAGAAATCCTACATATAGGAGAAGCACACAATCTAGGGCTGTCGATCACAGCCCACGGCCCTAAATTGGATATCAAATCACATTCCATAGATGTTAATGGAAAGGCTGACTCGCTAGCATAAACTGTCACTGCTCTACCTGTTGTATAGGTTAGAATACCTCAAATTTCACAGATTAAGGAGCAAATCAAGACGAAAATACTCCCAACTATCAAAAGTCGCCACAGAGCCAAAGTAGCAGAAGGAAAATCCACTGCAATATGGTATGAACAAGCCACTAGGTATTCCTCATTCAAGCCTGGCAAAAAGGTATCCAGAGACATTGCAGTAACCATACACAGACTCAGACTTGGTTACAAGTGTTGCTGGGAGGTAATAAACCCTATAGTTAGTGTCATATCTGTGGAACAGAATCAGTAAAATAGGTACCTGGGTGTAAGTCAGCTGTCACGGGGTGCTTCCTGGGGATGGAGGCCTGGTCGAGGACCGGGCCGCGGGGACACTAAAGCCCCGAAATCATCTCAAGATAACCTCAAGATAGGCCGTGTTACGCTTCGTTGGATAAGGATAGGGCTCGTTTTGATCCGTCTTGTGTACCTTGGCACTTGTATCCAACAGGGGAAGCCGTCTTGTTCTGGGCTCGTCACCTCGAGATCATTTCCAGAGAAGAGTTGAAATCCACAATGATGACATGACGAGAGGGACACGGGGGCGTGGCAGCCGGTGCGGGGAGGGGGGTCCTGGCCGCATATTTTCCCGGAAAACTGAGACATTTTCCCAGTATTGTCACGAGCAGCAGCCCTGACTAGTGACAGGGTAGGACACTTGCGGGGTGTCAACGCGTCTCTGTCCCTCCTTCCCTCCACCTTTACTCCTTTCTCCCTTTTCTTTACTCTAGTTTCATTTAAAATTAAAATATAAGTGTCATATTTGTTTCTTTGGAGTCGTTGTCCTTGTTTACCCAAGCCGTCCTCTCACTAGGCTATTTAAAGCAGCGGCCGTCCTCCCCAAACGAATACATCAATTTTTAACATAGTGTATTAAAAATGGGTTTGTTCTCATATACATATATATATATATATATATATATATATATATATATATATATATATATATATATATATATATATATATATATATATAGGTTAGGTTTTTAGGTTCTGTTGGCGATTACATGTATTTGAAATACGTTGGTAATGCATTTATAGAATTGTGGTTCGAACAGAGGACGTGAGCGAAGCACTTTCTCCAGGAAGTGTTTGGACGTCATCAGTTGAGTCGTGTGTTAACCACTTTTCATTTATAAACGGGGTTTGGCGGCTGGATTAACGAGCTTTGATCTTTGTACGAGAAGACGCGCTAATTTACCAGGCCTCACCGTACACAACTTCAGAGACGGGTTGAGAA